TTGCCAACAGAGCATAGCACTTGCCTCTGAGATCTTAGCCAGAGTTTGTTGGTGGTGTGGTGTCTGTTTGTTTGAGAGAGCAATTTTGAAGACAACTTTCAGATTTGTCTATACTTAAGTATCAAAACATTTAATGTTGTATTAAAATAAAATAGAATTAATAAATTAAAATAAATATATTAAATTTCAATTTAGTAATTCAGAACTTTTAGGAATGATGAAACCTTCCCAAAGTTCACAATATAGAAAACGTGAGGATTTGAGAGATATGGTGCCCTAAATCAAGGAGCATCTTGTCAGCATTTGACTTGCTTGTAGCTAGAGGAACTCGTATTTACTGTAGATTGAGCCCACTGCAGGACAGCTCGTTTTGATTTGAACTTGTCTAGTTTGGTGTCAGTAGTGCTTTGGCACATTTGTAGTCACCGTTTCGGAACACCAAACGTGACATGATTTGGTAAGTCAGCAAAGTGGGAATACAGTTTCTCAGCTTGTTAGAGCTGTGGGTCTGTCTGTCAGCCAGCAGAATCATGAATGCAGCTCATATGCTTTCGTAAGTGAGGCAGCCGCACTCGCTTATTTTTAGCTGTTTCTACACTTTTCTGCACTGTTGCTGTGAGTGTATTTTGAGCCGAAGGATTTTGGATTTTCAGTATTCAGAGACAGAAATCATGTCCAAAGGCTCAGCAGCATTGGGCAGATCCTTCTTGAGACATCTTATTCAGCAGTCTGTTGAGGATGACCAACAGCCAGATCCTCAAAGCTACTTTAGCAGAAAGATGCCTAAATGTTTTTGTTTTCTGGGCCCTGAAGTCTCTGCTTTTATGCTGTCCCTCGGTCTACAGAGATGTTGTAGCAGGGAAGGTGTTCTGAAGGTCTTCCTTAAATAGGTAGCTGCTTTGCTCTGTGCAAATTAATTTGCAAACCTCTGCTTTTCAATGTGAATTTTGGGGGAAATTTTGCATATTTGTTTATTTATTTGCATAGAAACAATTTACGTATGATATTGTTTATATGTAAATTCTTTCTGTGTAAATGAAATGTTGCTTGCTGTAATGTTCTATGCCATTTGTACTGTAGTTATCAAGCATGGTAAGAGTTAATACTCTTGGCAGTGACTTTTTTTTCTCCCCCTGAGGGCTCTGTGTATGATTTTGTAAGTTTTGTAGTCTGCATCTGAAGAAAAAGAACTGATTTGTAGATGAGCTGAGCTGTTAGGGGGTTAATGTATATTCATACTAAGGAAAAGCTACTTCTGTAATATCACTATATCTCACCATCATTAAGTGAAGTGAGATCTTGCCTTCGATATCCCAAATATGAGCCTTGTTTGAAGGAATGTGTTTGCTCCCTGCTGCTCGTTCACTTCCCATTGCCTTTCACACACAGTCCTTTCACTGTTTGTTTGTTTGTTTGTTTTTTTCACATAACTAATATGTACTGTTTATACTTTTAACTATGTGGGTTGTCCCTGTGCAGTGCATCGTTAGCAGCAGGAA